GACAACCGGGACGCAGCACATCGTATGGCAAATGATGATAATGATGTACAGTAATGCCCCAACTCCAAGGATCGCTGATACTGGCCAACATTCGGGGTTCAAAAGGTTGGCAGAGCATATCGTGCACGTGATTGCCGGGCAGAATGGTAGCGCTGGGCACATCCTTTCCACGATGATGAATTCATTCTCGTGACGAATCTTCCATTTTATTTCATAGTCGTGGAGGAGTATTTCCGATGGTAATTTGATGATCTTTTGTATTGGGGGAGAATGCTCTTCAATGCACTGAGAATCCACGCATAGCTCAAATTCTGATAGTCCAGGTGCATGTAGAAATACTCCTTCTTTCGCGCATTCTATCAAATGTTCTGGAGAAAATTTCGATGCAACTTCTTGGATGGGTGTATCATTCGGCTCCCTTTTTGGCATGGCCAGTGCTGCTGGAGTTGCCATGGTAACAAGTACCAGAGCCATTTTTAGATAAAGAGATAATGGCCATGTACGAGGGTTTCTTTGTCTTCTTGCCATGACCGACGTGACCGTAGCTTCGGCTGTGTCGTTTGGTTGCCTCCGTGATCGTCTCGGGCGTAAGTTGTAATGTCCCCTCTGCGGAGGATCCGTAGACTCTCTAATCAACGGGTGGTCGACTGCATCTTTATCCGCGTTATATCCTGTGATTTCTAACGGGTATAACTGGTTCACTGGTCTCCTCATATTGTGCTTCGCACAAAGCACTTCAGCTTCTCTTACTTCTCCATCGCTGCTAGTGACAAGTTTAGTAATCTTTGCCATCTTCCATTGACTTCGCTTCTGACAGGGTTCACTCAGCAGTACAATTTCACCTTCACGAGGGGATTTTGTGCATCCTTTCCTTCCATCTATATATCGACGATGTTGCTCTCGAAGAGCTGTCAGATAGTGATTCTGCCATATCTTCCAAAACTTCTCTGTCAACATCTGCGAAGATCTCAACGCCTTTTGCGCTTGTAGTCGGGTCTGCAGACGTGCCATTTCTGTCGAAGGCATGTATGTGCTGTCCGACTCATCCGATTCGTCGTTCTCTGGAAGAGTAATGTCTATATCTCGTTGGATGAAGTCAATAGGCCTCAGTGCCTCGAAGGTGTCTTCCATGTTAGTCTCTTGGTAGGTCAATGGTCTCGTGTTCAGACATCCTTCAATTTCTGTGAGAAGAGTATCTAATGTGTCCTTTGTTAGAATTTTTCTCCCCACAGTCTTTGTCATCGCCTGTTTAACCGATTGAATGAGTCTCTCGTAAAATCCGCCTTTCCAGGGCGAATAAGGCGTAATATGATGCCATTCAATCATTTTATCACTCATCTCCCTTGCTACGTTCTCATCTATTTGATGTGATTCTTTTCCATCATTGAGAATCTGAGCACCTAATACGAATACCGGAGCATTGTCGCAAGTTACTGTTTCCGGTTTCCCTCTTCGAGCAACGAATCTACGGAAAGCATTCAAAAATTTCTGTGTTGTTCCATCAGAAACCACTTCCAAGTGTATTAGGCGGGTCACCGTGCATGTGAATATGCACCCATACACTTGCGATGGTTCCTTTTCTCCTTCTTCTCTGATCGAGATTGGTCCGAAGTAGTCTAATCCAATGTGCTGAAATGGTCGTGTTCTTGTTACACGTGCCGCCGGCAGATCTGGCATCTCCGGATACTTGTACGGTAGAGCATTCAGCTTCTGGCACGGTATGCATTTTCGTATGTGTTGTTTCACCTGCTCCCTTAGTCGAGGTATCCAGAATCTTTGACGGATATCCGATATTGTGTGCGCGACGCTCTTGTGGTATGCACCGTGGGACTCTATTATTATTAGGCGACTTATTTCCGATTTGGGGGCGATGACAATCGGATTTTTTGCGTCTGCATCAAGATCCGCTTTGTTTAGTCTGCCATATGCCCTCAAAATTTTGTTTTTGTCTTCTCTGACGTTCAGATTTTTTACAAGTTCTTTCCTGTATTGAGATTGTAGATGTGCCGCTTGATGTTGCTTGATCAGGATAAGTTCAGCGTCCTTCGTTTCTGTGGCCGACAAGCTTTGGCTTTCCACTTTTCGCGCAATCCACGGCAAGGAAGTTTGCAGTTTTTCTTTCAATGCACCTTGCAATCGACTGTGGATGCCTTTCAAAAATCTCAGGGCATAAGCAACTATTCTACGCACTTTTCGGAGCTCGTTGTAGGCTGATAGCTCCACTATTTCCTTCACCGTTTCGTCTTCATTTGCGATAGCCTTCACGTAGTTTGTAACTACAGTTTCCGGTTCCCCATCTTCTTCCTGGATAGTGTATAGTTTGAAGCCATTGTTTTGAATTTCTTTGAGGGTGTGTCCTTTCCACCAGTCATGGTTTGAAAATTCTGATGATGACAACCCCCGTTGCGCAGTCCGCCAAATTTTGCTTTGTGTCCACAGATCCTATCTGCACATTTATAGACAAGCTTTCTATTTCCCTGACAATTCTGTGAATCACCTTTATCCTGTTCGACACATATCTGCTAGTGCCCTGTCGATGCTTTGAACTTTGTAGCCAATTTAGAGCGATTTCAGAATCGCACAGGAAAAGAACACTTTCTATCTCCAGTAGCGGACGGACGCTCAATAGGATATTATGTGTCAAGCGAGCCGCGATTGCCATAGCATTCAGTTCCATTTTCGGTATAGTGGTAGGTTTTTTGGCGTCCGCTATCTTAGATTTCGCCATAAGGAATTTTGCCTCATCTTCGTCAATGAGATAGGCGCACGCGGCCATGGCCATCGTGCTAGCATCCGAAAATGTAACGATCGTGTGCTTTGCCTGATGGCGAACTATCCGTCTCGGTAGTTGACAGTGATATCCTGAGATGTCCTTCACAATTTCGGCCCACTGTGCCGCATGGTTCTCGTTTAGTGGTTGATCCCATTCATAGCGTTCTTTCCACAACTTTTGTTGAAAATTTTTGGCTTTAACGAGTAAAGGTATGAACCATCCCAAAGGATCGTAAACCGAGGCGATTTGCTGAGCGACAATCCGTTTACTGACGACTGTGCTGTTCTTGATCTTGACAGAAAGTTCAAATTTGTCAGTAGTTGCGTTCCATGGTATTCCCAAGACCTTTGGAACAAGGTTCGCGGACCGATCCTCCTTCGCTATAGCGGTCATAATTCCGGGGTCATTGGAGACAAACGCTCGTATGTTCATGTTGATGTCCTTGAAGAGTGACTTCACGTCCTCGTACTTTTTTATACCCTCATTTGTTGAGCTTGCTCCCAGGAACAAGTTATCGACGTACAAATTGGACGCAATTTCGTTTGCCATGACCTGATCAGACACATTGTTCTTGAGGTGAAACAGAATAGTCCCACTCAGAAGGAATGGGGATGCATTTATCCCAAATGTGACCCGTGTAAATCTGAAGACGGCAAGGTTATCCTCGGAAAGGGGCTGTTCGATATCTTTCACCCACAAACACCGAGTGACGTCTCGGTCATCCTCATGAAGGTGTATTTGGAGAAAAGCTTTTTCCACGTCCGATAGCAGAACGTACTTTCCTACTCTGAACCGCAACAAAATACCGTATATTTTGGGGAGTATTGTTGGCCCTTGGTGGATTATGTCGTTTAGTGACGGGCGACCTTTATAATGGGCCGATGCATCAAAAACTACCCTGAATTTGGTAGTGTCCTTCTCTGGCGTGATGACGAGTTGATGTGGGAGATAATGTTTCAGTTGCCCGGAGGTGTCTTTTGACTCGTCAACAGCTTCCAGAATGTTCTTTCCTATCTGTTCTTGGAACACGCCATGGTACTGCTGGAGTATTTGCGGTTTATCCTTATACATCTTCAGAACACTTTGGAGGCGTCTCAATGCTAGCGCTCTGTTATCCGGCAAGAATTCGTGTTCGTGTTTGAAGGGAAGCTTCAA